AAGCAACACTGAACAGGTACCGCTGTGTGACGCAGCTTTTCTCAGCTTGTTTAACTCCGACACTGAAGAGGAGGACTTCGATGGTTTCAGTGCGCCGGAGGAHGATRAATGAGAYGTTTTGTTGGACCAGAAACTGTTAAAGAAAACTACCAAAATAAGGTCAGTTAAATKAACCGTATTCCTCCGAACTTTAATTCCTAAAGGTTTGCTTTTTATGTTTTGGTGTTGAATTCACTTTGACGACAATTCTGGGTGTACTGTTTTTTTTTATGTTGGGGGTGCGGCTTATAGTCCGAAAAATACGGTACTTTATATGAGCTGAGGGAGGGCAAAGGGAGGATTTATGATAATTTATGGCCACTGCGTCTGGAGCTCGTTTATACTTGGTCAGGAAAAAAGACGCTCTGAAATTGTGCAATCAACAAACTGCTGTCGCACGTCTTAGTGAAGTATAAACAAAGCTCAAGTCCACTTTGGCTCAAACAACGATAGATGGCTTGAAGTTCACCTTTAATCTCTTTAGAAGTTTTTCTGGGCTTTTTGTTTCCATTCGTATTATCCGTCTTTTTGATTTGTCCTCAATTTTCCTCCTGCAGCCACGTCCATGGAGGTTGGCTACAGTCATGGATCTGAATAATATGTGCAACTGTAGTCACAGGAACATCAAGCTGCTTAGAGATCATCTTATAACCTTTACCTTTAACATGCTGGTCCATGTTGAGTGTGGTTCACACCATGTCACCAAACAGCACAGTGAGTATCTGTAGCCCTATATACAGGCCAACTGACTGATTACAAGATTGTAGACACCTGTGATGGTAATTAGTGGACACACCTTGATTTAACATGACCCTTTGGTCACATTATTTTCAGTGGTACCATCATTTCTGTCCAGGCCTGTTTCATGAGTTTTATTTTATTCTGTTAAAGTTTGGCTGAAAAACAATGTGTAACTTTCATTTGTTCATTTTCATAGAATTTACAGTATTACTTTTGTCAGATTCTAGTTATTTCTTTGACCATTGTGAGTTTTTTAATCATTAAACAACGGGTAACCAACAATTTTGTACAAGTATGTATCTGCGCTGAATTTACACTAATGAATGTTTGACTATATTACAGAGCTGTGAGATGAATAAATTATAAAAAATGTAACGTGGGAGCTGCAGATGAACTCAGCAGAGTGTATGGTTGTGGTTCAGGTGTCTGAACATCAGATCAAGCAGAAACACAGATCTGAACTTTGGGTTTATTATAGCGAGAAATGGCTCATAAAGGTGCTCTGTTTTAGCCAGGAGCTCTGCTTGACCAAAGATGACCAATGTTTTTATCAGTTTAGATCCTAAAACAGACAGAATGAGGTGACTGATCTCCTCAAAGTGACAGCAGGCAGCTAAATGACATTCTTCTAGAGTTTGATGGACGTGGTCGGGTGATGAAACGATCATATTTCATTCTATTTGATGCAAATAAAGAACAAACATTTTTGACCACAGATGTGTAGAATAAACTGGGAACAGAAATATATATATA